GGGTGGCACTGTCCCCAGGGGTGGGGACCTGATTCGCTGCCTTCAGGGGATATTTCAAGTTGGTTTCAGCCCCCGGGGTCTGAGCAGGGTGCGACAGTGGCCCACGCCTGTCATCCCAGCGGCTTGGGAGGCTGAGGCAGGAGGATCGCAAAGTGGAGGCCAGCCTCAGCCAAAGCGAGGCCCCGAGCCGCTCAGGGAGACCCCGTCTCTAAATAAAACACAAAACAGGGCTGGGGACGGGGCTCTGTGGCCGAGTGACCCTGAGTTTAATATCTGGGGCCTCCGAATGAAGAAAAGGAACCCAGTTGAGGCTTTGGCGGACAGGGGACCCGGATTAGCGGGAAAGACAGGAGGGGGACATTTGGGACGCTAAAAGCAAACTCCGAGTCCCGTCTTGGCTGATGGACTCAGCTGGGTCAGCAAGTTGGGGACGCCGTTAATCATTCCTGGTTCATGGGTTTGGCCTTTGGAAGCTTCTAGAACCTCAGCCAGAGGTCGGCTTGCGGGCGGGGACAGAGCCAAACACAGAGGTTAATGACCGACGAGGCGTGACGTCCCCACGGGCCCTAAGGAGGCCACCCGGGCTTGGGAGAAACTGCTTCCTGAGCCAGAGGCGACCTCAGTTCCTCATGAGACTTTCCTCCCTCGGGGACACGGGCCCCGGGTGGGGACAGGCCCCTCTCTGGAAGGTCCCAGGTCCACAGATGACCTTAGGGGTCCCAGGAAGCCCTCAAAGCCAGCCCCGGGGACGGCGGTCACTCCTTACCCCGTCTGTGCAGAGCCTGGGACTCGAGGCTCGGTGGTCAGGTGGCCTGTCACTCAGACACAGGGGACAGGTGGTGTGGGGACCCCCGCGGCCCAGGGCTCCCGGCTCCGAGGGCCTGGACTTGACCTGTGTGTGTCCCCTCACGGCTGCTCCTGTCCCCGCAGTTTGTGGAAGTCGAGGGACAGATCACGTCCTTGGTGGACCTCTACCCGTCCTTCCTAAGGAAGGGCTATCGCCGGGAGATCTTCATCGCCATCGTGTGTGGCATCAGCTACCTGCTGGGGCTGACGATGGTGACGGAGGTAGGTGACAACAGCGCCACCGAGGGAGGTGACAGTGAGGGCGACCGAGGGAGGTGACGGTCAGAGTGGTGATGGCCAAGGAGGTAGGTGACAGAGGTAGGTGACCATGAGGGTGACGATGATGATGAAGGTGGGTGACAATGATGGTGACAATGGTGACAGATGTCGGTAACGATGAGGGTAACAGGTGGGTGACAATGAGGGTGATAATGATGATGAAAGTGGGTGACAATATTGGTGACAATGGTGACAGAGGTAGGTGACAATGAGGGTGATGATGGTGCTGGAGGTGACAGTGATGGTAACAACGAGGGTGACAATGACAATGGAGGTGGGTGACAATGACAATGGAAGTGGGTGACAATGAGGGTGACAATGACAATGGAAGTGGGTGACAATGATGATGACAATGGTGACCAATGTAGGTGACAATGAGGGTGACGGTGGTGACAGAGGTAGGGTGACAATGAGGGTGACAATGGTGACAGATGTAGGTGACAATGAGGGTGACGATGGTGACATGTAGGTGACAATGAGGGTGATGATGGTGAATAGAGATGGGTGACAGTGATGGTGGCAATCATGACCAATGTAGGTGACAGTGAGGGTGACGATGGTGACAGGTAGGTGACAATGAGGGTGATGATGGTGGCAGGTGACAATGAGGGTGACGATGGTGAACAGAGGTGGGTGACAGTGATGGTGGCAATGGTGACAGAGGTAGGTGACAATGAGGATGACAAGGGTGACAGGTAGGTGACAATGATGTGACAAGGGTGACAGAGATAGGTGACAATGACGGTGACAGTGGTGATGGAGGTGGGTGACAATGAGGCTGGCAGGTAGGTGACAATAATGGTGACAGGTGACAATGACGGTGACAGGGGGCATGGAGGTGCCTGGCCCTCCCTGTGTGGCACGGGGACTCCCCTTGTCCCTGTGGAAGGTGGGGTGCACTGACTGCCCCTGGCCATGGCCACCCATGGGCAGGGCTGGGCAGGGCTGGGCAGGGCCGGACACGTGTGGCCCATCAGGGCTGAGGCGGGGGACGTGTGGGTTTCTGGCTGACGGGGGCAGATCCACGGTTCAGAGTGGCCAGGGGCCAGGAGGGGGCTCCACTTAAAATAGGTTTAAGGGCTGGCGCACGTGACCCAGGAGGCTGAGGCAGGAGGATCCCAAGTTGGAGGCCAGCCTCAGCAACTTAGCGAGACCCTGTCTCTAAATAAAAAAATGATAAAAAGGGCTGGGGACGGGGGCTCAGTGGGTCCAATCCCTGGAACCAAAAATAAATAAAATTAACAGAGCGCCCGAGAGGTGACAGGAGCAGGTGTGTCACCGAGCCTGGGCACCTCTAGCAAGAGGAAAGCCAGAGAGACAACGCGCTCAGCCCACACAAGCCCAGCGTCACCCCGGGCCTGCCCTGCTGCGTCCCTCCTCTAGCTGGGTGGGACCGGAGTCCTGTGTGTTAACTGCACTCGATTCGGCGGCCATTATTTTGGCCATTATTTTTGCTAAGACAATGTTGTTTGTCTACTTTCCGTCTCTGTGTGTCCGAGTTAAAGAAGGTTCAAACTTCAAACCGTGAAGCTGGACATCTTTTTATACACATTTATCCGGTCATCCTGTGTCACCCATTTTTTTTTTACCTTTGGGAGTATTTTTGTTGTTGTTGTTGTTGATTTGCCAGAGCTCTTTGTATATGAAGGGAATTAGAACCCAAACCAGCACTCAGCCTCGGATGTGTTGTTCTTTTTTTCCTTACAGGGTGGCATGTATGTGTTTCAACTCTTTGACTACTATGCAGCTAGTGGTGTATGCCTTCTGTGGGTTGCATTCTTTGAATGTGTTGTTATTGCCTGGATATTCGGTGAGTACAGATTCCGGCATATTCTTCCCTAAGCCTCTCCTTTGGGCCTCTCTATGCGGGGAAGCTTCAGGAGCAGTGAGATTAACAGAAAGGCCTCCTCTTCCCGGCCTCTCCTCTCGGAGGCGCCCCTTTCTGGGTCCGACTTATTACCCTTTATCCAGATAACGGTCCAGATGACCCCAGTGCTGGGAGGGTTCAAGGTACACATCTCCTTGAGCCCCCTGACACAGCCTTCCCTGGGGCAGAATGTCACATGTCACCAGCGTGTCACACCGCGGTCACGGTGCTGTGTCACCCAGTGTCCACCGCTGTCTTTGGCAGGTGGTGACAACTTTTATGATGGTATTGAGGACATGATCGGCTACCGGCCTGGGCCCTGGATGAAGTACAGCTGGACTGTCATTACCCCGGTTCTCTGTGTTGTGAGTACAGACTTGGCTCGAGGGGGGGGGGGTGGGGACATCTCTGGGTCTCTAGGGTCGCCCCTTCAGCTTCGGGGACAGAGGCCACTCCAGAAGGGTTCCCAGAGACGGGTTCTGAGGGATGAATAGGAGTTTGTTGGGCAGAGGGGACAGGAAGGGCGTCCCCGGCCGAGGAAGCCACCTGTGTTCTGAAAGGGTAGGGTGCAGCCAGGGAGGGTGGAGGTGACAGCGGAGGACCAAGCTCCCCTCTGACTGTCCCAGAGCCTGTGAGCCGGGTGAGGTGGACGTCCAGTGGCAGGCTTGGGCATTTCCATGGACACTGGACATGTTGTTTCCATGGTGGGATGAGGACGGTGGCTTCCAGAGAGGACGTCCTCGCAGAGGAATGTTCTGGGCTCTCCCAAGGTTGAGGAGACCTCATAGCCCCTCAGGACGTGGGGACAGTGGTGGCCCACCTTGCCCTTCCTGGGGCCACCATCATCTTGGAAGGGGCCGCCATCTTGGAAGGGGCAGCCATCTTGGGAGGGGCCGCCATCTTGGGAGGGGCCGCCATCTTGGAAGGGGCCGCCATCTTGGGAGGGGCCTTGGTCCATTCCCATGAGTTCTGCCTCAGAGGTTGTCCTCCCTACAATCGGGAGATCCTCGGCAGGGAAGGCTGCTGACCTGTCCCTGTGTGAAGTCACCAGTGTCCTGGGGAACGTGCTGCCCAGAGACACCCTCTCCATGGCCACTCTTGCCCTTCCTGGGGCCGCCATCTTGGAAGTGGCCGCCATCTTGGAAGGGCCGCCATCTTGGAAGTGGCCGCCATCTTGGAAGGGCCGCCATCTTGGAAGTGGCCGCCATCTTGGGAGTCCCCATAAGGAGCGCCAGGGGCCCTCTGCTCCCAGGCCACGCTGGGTCAGCACTGCTGTTAGCTTGTCGAGTGACCTCAAGCAGCCAGGTCCCTCTGTGGGCCTCCGTTTCCCCACCTCTGGAACAAGGTCACTCTGAAGGGGTTCTGGTGGGAGCTGACGACTTTATTACCAACATCATTTAATAGGATGGGGTTCCCCCACCCCTGAATTATTTTTTTCCCCCAGAAAAGTAAGTAACTATGGCAACCATGGACCACAGCTGAGTTGACCCCTGGCAGAGAGGCGTTGGGTCCATCTGGGTGCATGTTCTTGTCCCCACTGAACGCTTACTCATGACCCGTGCCTGTCACTCTGACCCTCAGATTCTTTTTTTTTTTTCTTTGTTACCAGGAATTGAACTCGGGGACCCTGGACCCCTGAGCCCCGTCCCCAGCCCCATTTTGCATTTTATTTAGAGACAGGGTCTCCCTGAGTGGCTTAGGGCCTCACTAAGTTGCTGAGGCTGGCCTCCTCTTAACGATCCTCCTGCCTCAGCCTCCAGAGCCACTGGGATGACAAGCGTGCCCCACTGTGCCCAGCCTCTCAGGTTGAGGCCCGTCCTGGTCCCAGACCCCCCTCTGACCGCCCCCCTCTCTCTCTCTGTAGGGATGTTTTGTCTTTTCTCTCGCCAAGTACGTGCCCCTGACCTACAACAAAGTCTACGTGTACCCAAACTGGGCCATCGGGTTTGGCTGGGGCCTGGCCCTGTCGTCCATGATGTGCATCCCTTTGGTCATCCTGATTCGCCTCTGCCAGACGGAGGGGCCGTTCCTCGTGGTGAGTGCTGGGCTGGGAGAAGCGGGAGGCCGACGCCGGCCGGCTGGCTGGCTGGCTTTTTGCTGTGTGACCTTAAGCAAGACGGTAGCCCTCTCTGAATTCTAGACCCTTCCCGGGATGGTTTGGGCAGAGTGCATTGTGGGAAAAGAGGCCCAGAGCCCCGTTGATGCAGAGGGGGGAGAGGGCTTTGTGGTCCTGGTCAGGGCAGGTCTGGGGGCTGAGGAAGAAGGTTCCAGAATGTGAGAGTCAAGGACAGAAGGTTCTGGAGAAAGGAGCTGAGTCCCCCCCCTCCAGACACCTCTCCTTACCCTGGAGCCCAGGGGAGGCCCAGCCTGGGGACTGGGCCCCCAGAAGCCCCCTGTGCCCGGGTCTCAGCTGGGTTGGTGGCAGACTGTGTGTCTGCCCGTGTCCCCCGGGGGTCCCCTTCCTGCCCCAGCCTCCTCTCCACAATACGGAGGCCCCAGGGCGGGTCGCGGCTGGCAGAGGCCGAGGCTCTTTCCAAGAAATTCCCTTCTCAGCATCTCCTGGAGCCTCCGGGCTTGGGTTGGCGCCAGGATGCGTGGTTTTGTTCTGAGCCGGGTGGTGTGTGTTTTTTTTTTAAATTTTATTGTTTTTCTCTTTTCAAAATCTGGAGCCAGGATGTCCTGGGGCCCTGCTCCCCCCGGGCTGGCCCGAGCTTCCTCCTGAGCTGGAAGGGGAAAGGTCGAGAGTGGGGAGAGCGGAGAAGGAACCCGGGGTCGGGGGGGACCAGGGAGCCAGGCAGACCCCCACCCCTGGGTCTTCATCAGACAGGACCCCAGTATCCAGCCAGAATCCCGGAAAGCCTGTCAGGTCTTAAGATGGTAGAATCTCGAGGCTCGGGAGGCTGAGGCCGGAGGATGGCAAGTTGGAGGCCAGCCTCAGCCACTTAGCGAGGCTCTGAGCCACTCAGGGAGACCCTGACTCTAAATAAAACAGAAAAAGGGCTGGGGACAGGGCTCAGTGGCTGAGTGCCCCTGGGTTCAATCCCAGGTACCAAAAAACCAAACAAACCTGAAATCTTGGGCCTGGGGACCGACAGGGGACACCGGCTGCTCTCTGAGCACTCCCAAGTGGCCCCCTCCCTCATCCCCAGAAGCATGAGCCAAAGTCCAATCAGGGAGCAAGAACCTTCCATCCACTCCCGGAGAACCCCCAAAACCAGAGAGGGTGATCACTATCCCAACGCCACACAGCACACACCAGAAATGTCAGGAGGGAGGCCGAGGGGGACGGGGACGGGGCCATCTGAGCCCCCCGGGTCTTCCTTCTGCAGAGAGTCAAGTACCTCCTGACCCCGAGGGAACCCAACCGCTGGGCCGTGGAGTGTGAAGGGGCCACTCCCTACAGCTCCCGCATCACGCTCAACGGGACCCTCATGAAACCGACTCACATCATCGTGGAGACCATGATGTGAGACCCCCGCGGGGGCCCCGGGGCGGCCGCTTTCCACCTGTTTACTAACATTAGATTCTCCTAGGACCAGGTTTACAGAGCTTTATATTTTGCACTAGGGATCTCGTCCTCGTCCTCGTTGGTGTATTTTTTTGTCAAACGTGAACTCCGTGCGTGCGCGCGTGTGCGTGAGCGTGTGTGTGTGTGTATCGTGGGTGTGCGTATTTTGTTCTGATTTGGGGATATTTTGTACAAAAAAAAAAAAATAGAAGAAACCACCCCCCCCTGGGCAGATGTCCCCAGGGAAATCGGAACTTTCCGACTGAATTAGGTCTATTTTACGGGAACGGGGTGAAAAGTTTTCTTTGTAGATATCTTTGTTTTTTTCTCTTTCTGGAACATGTGACTCTTGACCATGGGACACTTTGACCATGTGAATGACTCTTCTCGCCAGCAATAGAGATCGTTTTTTTTTATGGTTTTCCAAAAGCAATCTTTCGGTGCTTGGTCGAACCAGGAGAAAATTCTGACCCCCAAGGAAAACTAAAACGTTGAGGACGATTTTTTTCAGCCCTGAGCGGCATCCTGAGGGTGTAGTATCTTTCCGAACCTGGTTCAGGGGTCCCACATCCCGAGCAGAGTGACTGGCCAGACCCCCCCCGAGGAGCAGAAGAGACAGGGCCCGGAGGAGACCCTTCGTTACATTTCTCTCAGCCAACAGGAAACCTGCCAAAATCTGTGAACCAGGCCCTCAAGTTAAATAGACGGACGGAGAGAGCTCAGAGAGGAGACTCTTGAAGCAGGATTTGAAAAGTTAAAGAGCAATAGAAACTCTAAAGCTCCGGGTTTAAAAAAAAAAAAAAAAATTCCCATCTTTTATTTTGAGATCGAGGGTGGATAATCAGTAGGACTGTCCGAGTCCAGGGTCCAAGCAGGAGCTGTGAGAGATGGCAGAGAGCTGGTAGCCCTTGAAAGAGGTGGGTGATGGGCCACCCACGATCCTTTCTGGAACATTCCGGGCAAAGACCCCAAGCTGGCTCGAGAGCATCCGGGGTCTGGGGGTCACAGATGGACCAAAGGACAGGGCCCTGCGTGTTCCAAGTGTCACCTAGGGCCACCTCGGCTCCTAGCCCCCAAATGCCCAGAGTGGCCTGGGGGAGGGGGATGGAGGTGCCCGGCACCCCCCAAATCCTCCTGAGCGCCGGCCCGAGGAGGGTCTGGAGGGTCAAGGTCGTCCAGGGACACGGGGGGGGGGGGGCTGGCACCCCCAGGAGCTGGTGTCATCGTGAGTGACACCCAGAGCCAGGTTGGCCCCTGAACCAGGAAGGAAGGTGCTACACCCTTCAGACGTCCACCCCGTGCCCCCCGCGGGCCTGAGCGGGGCCATGGGCCGTCCTTGTCACTGTGGTCAGGCTCTCGGCCACACCCCAACGTGACCACAGGCGCCCAGGCGGGGACTGTCCCCGAGGCTGGCGTCCGCGTCCCTGGAAACCTCCTGCCGCCCCAATTTGGGATTTTTAGTGGAGGGGGGAGACCCCCGTCCCCCTCCTGCCCTGGTCTCGGACAAGTGGCCTATTTAGGGACACTCTGCCAAATGTCCCCCGATCCCATTCCAAGCCACCCGTGCTGGTCCCCTGCCCCCGTTTGTCCGTGTCTCTGCGGTCCCCGTGGTGTGGGGCCTGTGTCCTTGTCCTGCTGATGTGACCCAGTTGCCGTGTGACCCCCCTCCCCCCCCCCTGGTTTTCCTGTCGTCTTCTGGAACTTTCTAGAAAACTCACCTTGTGTCCCTCTGGGAAGGCAGGGTCCCCCCGTCCCCCAGGGAGCAGGACCCTGACAGACTGCGGCCACCTGAGCCTTCGGGGTCCTCTCGGTCCCCCTTTTCCCTCCTGTCACCACCTCGTGACCTGGGGGAAGGACGTCCCGCTAACGTGGTGACACTCTCCTAGACCAAAGACGCACACAGAGGCCGGGTCCCCAAGGCCCCCACCTGGAAGAGGGGTCGGCCACCGTCTCCAGCTGCTGCTCCCGGGGCCCCGGGCCCCTGCCTTCCCGTGTCCCCTCCTGGCCACAGTGTTGGTCCGTGTCCCCCGTGACGATGGCCGTCTGTCCCGTCTGTCTCTGTAGAAGTGGAATCTGTCCCTTAGAGCTCACGACTGGTCCCCGTCTTGGGACAGGCGGGTCCGACCTTCCTCCCGCCATCCGTCTGCCTGGGACAGGTCAGAGACCTGGTGTCACCTAGATCTGGTGTCACCCAGTGCCCAGGCTGCCCCATCTGGACGGGAAGCCACCAAGGCATTTTAAAGATGAAGAAGTGGGTGGGGGGTCCCCAAGATGAATGTCCCCCCTCCCCTCCCCGGGGAGCCGCCTCATGGATCGGAGACCCTGGGACTGTCCCCAAGGCTCTCCAGGGTCCCCTGTGCCGTGACCTCGGTGTCCCTGGGGAAGCCCGGTCCCCGAGCAGGGAGGGGGCTCCAGACGTTCCCGAGTCACGAGGACCAGGCGGCGGCCGGCGGGTCCCCATCCCTCCCCAAGGTTCTCCCTGGCGACCACAGACGCGTTGGTGGCCGAGGAAGCAGCTGACTGGTGGCCAGGGACGGGGCGAGAAGCACCTCAGACCCTCCCCCGGGGCCTCTCGGTCCCCAGCTGGCGAGACGGGAGGTGGCCTCGGGCAGGACAGGCCATCTGTCCCCTCTGGCCCTGCCCAGGGACCTCCTTCCCCGCAGGTCACCCCTGGGAGAGGGGACCTGAGAGTCCTCTGTGCGCAAGAGCCAGCCCAGGCCCAGGCCGGCCGGTCGGCTCCCCCTAAAAAAACAAATCAGGGTTTAATGACAATTTCCAGGACTCGGTGGCACTCCCCGGTCCCCGCCCAGCACCCCAAAGATGGTGGCACCAAGAGCCCCCCTGGGCTGTCCCCGAGCACCTCCAAGAGCCCCTCTTGATAAAGCCATGGCGCTGGGCGGTGGCACCAGGCTGGGAGCAGAGAGTCCCCAACTTCTCCCCGAGACTCAGCCAGGAGGGGACCCAAGGGACAATCCTAGAGGGTCCTTCAAAGCCTCAGACGCAGGCGGGATCCTCCGACAGATTCAGGGCCAAACTGAAAACCCAGGAGCCACCAAGTGGGAGAGCAATCCAGAGTCCCCAGGTCCCAGGGCCACCGCCGCCTGCTGGCCCGTGACCCCCCACAGGAAGCTCCCCCCCCACCGTCCCCTGAGTGTCCCCTCGACCTGTTGTGACTCCCTGGAGGAGGAGGAGGGAGTCTCTTGTGGGACCTTTGGCTTCCCATCGAGATGGTGGCTGCATTTTAACTTTTTTTTGTCCCTTGATTTCCCCCGAGTCACGGTCCCCAACCTTCCCCTCCCCCTCCCCGCCCCCTCCCTCCCCCACGCCCCCCCAAGACTCTCTCTATTTAGCACAAAGCAAAAGCTGATAAACGTGGGGTTCGCCTCCTTCCAGGAAAAAATAAAAAATGTCCTGGCTCATCGGGACTTTTTTTAAAAATAAAAATTTTAAAAAAATTTTAAAAAAAATGAAAATTTAAAAAAAAAACCTTCAAACTATTTTTAAGGTATTTTAAACTTTTGTAAAAAAGAAAAAAATACGACTAAAAAAAAAAAAAGAATCTATGAAATCCATCCACGGGAGACTCTTCGGAGGAGGAAATATTTGTATTTGAACAAAATCCTTGGTGTGTCCCCCTCCCCGTCCCCTGTCCCCGCAGAATACGAGCTTCTGCGCGTCCACGTGTGACGATGGAGGGTCCCTGGGGTTCGCGGGGCCCGTGTGAGCGTGAGTGTGTGTGTTCATTTCTTCTTTGGCTTTTTAGATAAATATGTATATCGATATTTTAAATCCATCTTTGGCTTCTTTTTCTTTTTTGTAGAGGAGTTTGTAATCACCTGATAACACGACAATAAACGTTTCCTTTTTAAAAGCCCCCAGCGGGTGTGCGGTGTGTTGGGGCTGAGCGGACGTTTCCCCCGTGGGTTGGGTGAGCCCTTGACAGTTTCTAGAAATTTCTGTGAAGGGCTTTTTGAGGCCGACCCTGCAAACATGTAGAGAGTGCAGGTGGAGGATCCCGTCCCAGGTGGAGGTGGGGGGGACCATTTCGGTATTTTATTGAGAGACAGGGACTCTCGCTGAGCGGCTGAGGCTGGCCTCCAACTCGGGATCCTCCTGCCTCAGCCTCCAGAGCTGCTGGGGGGAATGACAGGTGTGCGCCACCGCGCCCACCCTCCAAGCCCTTTTTCGTTTTTATTTTGGAGCCAGGGTCTCACGCGAATTTGCTCATGGACGCCCACTTGCGATCCTTCCTGCCTCGGCCTCCGGAGCCCGAAGTCTTAATGATTTGCTTACAGGGTTCACCGTCCTCCACTGTAGTAGGCAGACAGGCCCTGAGTCCCTCTGTGGATGTTGTAACGTCCAGGGGCCACATCATGCCCAGTAGTAAATGGCAGGTTTTTAAAATGTATTGACGTATGGCTAACGTGCATTCACATTGGGGAGGCTGAGGCAGGAGGATCGAAAGTTGGAGGCCAGCCTCAACAACATAGCGAGGCCCTGTCTCTAAAAAAGGAATAAAAATAAGGGGATTCGATGGGGTTGGGGGTTCCATGGTTAAGTCCTCCCGGGGTTCCATCCTGGGTACCCAAACTTCAAACCACAACAAAAACATCAGCGTTTGAACTGAAACCAGGTGCGACGTCACTGGGTCTGCAGGGACACTGGGTCTCGCCGACCAAGAGATAAAGAAAATTAAGGAAAAAGAAAACCGCGCACTCCGGTGCCTGGAATGTTTTTTACTTTTTTTTTTTT